AAATTGAATATCTCCGAGCATGCCACAATCCCAACGCTACCTTACCTGCATCAAATACACATACAAAACCTACAGAAGATAGAAAAATTTAGTGAAGATGCATCAAAACGAAATATGTATTGGTATGACCTCATTTCAATAACAGGTACATTAACAACAACCATAATTGTGTACCTAAAATGTAAAAGATTATAAGGGAGGGGATATTTATAGACAGTCACATGTATTTGGTTATATGTACATGGTTACATATACATTGTTTACAACCTAAGTGCAGCTGAGAAAACATAAATATTTATGTATAGTTATAATTACTAGTTGTAGACAGTCACACATGTGTACAAATACTTTTGATTATCAGTAGAAATCAGAACAATAAAAATTTAAATACAAATAGTCATAAAAACATAAATATTTCCATTCCTTTGTTAAAAGTAGATAGGAACACATAAGATTTGAAAAGCAACTGACCTGCGCGTCGGTACTAGCATAAGTACAAATAGATGCAGTTTGAAAAAGAATAAATAGAATAAATTGACCACTGAGCGCAAAGCAATTTATTTCAAATATATTCCAGATTTTTTAGAAAACTGTCTTTGCCAGTTCATCGCTTTGTTTCATTCACAATAGCTATGATTTTTCCAAAAAGAGTAGTTTTCAATAACGATAAAGTTCATTTTAACAGATGAAAATGTAAACAAACCAAAATCACAAAATTTTGTGTTTTGTTTAAGTTACAATTAATACAAATATGAACAGTTGTTGTAATTTTTTTGTATTAATATCATCAAATAAACAAAACTAATATATATATAGTATTATAGTTTAATACCCCGGTTACAAATTGAAAAATTCAAACTAACCTTTTCTCCACATCAGACATTTTGAAACAAATTGAATATCAGGTGACTGTGCCCTTCCGCATTTCCGAAACACTTTGTTTTTAAGCGAAAATATGAAATAAGCTAAGTGGGTTTTATTTGTACATGGCTTAGCTATTAGCTCAAATAAAACACGCCTAACAAAACAAAACCAATTAACGTTGTCTACACTTTCGAAAACGAAAACGTTATTTTTTGAACGTAATATCATTATCGAAGTTCACATTGAATGTTAATTATCATCTATTAAACATTTTTTTATTTCTGGCATCTTCGATCCTGTAAATATAATATATAATCTCATCGCAGAAATTAAATCGTTGAATTTAGAAGCTGTGTATTGACTTTGAATGAAGTAATTAGCAAAAAAATTTATTTCTGCAGTCATTGTTTTCAGTAAAAAGTTTAAGATAAAAATTGAATTTCGTTTCAAATAAAATTTTACTGACAAATTTCTAAAACAGTGTACCGATTTATGGACAATTTATGAATACTTTCAAAATAGAATTCAATTTCATACATTATTGGGATAGTTTTTCCTAAAAATAATATTACGCCTAAGCAAATTTGGGTTGTACAGTATTCCCTGCTTAATTGATCAAAAATATATGGCATACGAAATAGTGTAAACTTTCTCGATAAATTGAACCTGCTAAATTGGTTTCCCGCATAATTGGTTAAAAATATGTGCTGCAAAATATACTATTAATTTCCTTCGGTTAATTGCACAAAAAAACTTTAGTTAAAAAATAAACTCTGGCATCAGCAATTGAAAAAATAAGTTGAAGTTTGATTAGAATATCGAAAAGACCTTTTCGAATACCCAATGCTTACGGAATATTGAATCGCATGTTATTTTGCAGAGATTGAACAATATACAAAAAAAAAAAAAGAGTATTTTCATTCACCATTTTATAAAGGTGAGCAACAATCTTTAAATATTTCATTATCATTACTAAAAATCAAATAAATACTTAAAGTACATATATTATATTTTAAATTGATTAGGTTCTCCAATTAAGCGACAATTTACATTGTCGACGCCCATAATACAATGTTGATCGATAATACAAATGTATGTTTGTGTGTGCCTCTAGACATTTTGTTGATTTGGCTCATCCTATTGGCACATCAATAAAACTCAAATAAAAGTTTATAAACTACTTACGAACTTTTCTCCAATGTACATACATTTGTGCTAAGAAATATGTGACATTAAACTTCAAATA